CTCCTCCTCCTCCTCCTCCGTAAAAAAGTTCCCTGACCCCCTGCTCCAGCCAAGGCCGTGGATCCCAACCTTGGGCAACCCAGGTAAAGGTTCCCCTTGACAATTTTTGTCCAGTCGTGTTCGACTCTAGGGGGCGGTGCTCATCCCTGTTTCCAAGCCATAGAGCCAGCGTTTTGTCCGAAGATAATCTTCCGTGGTCACATGGCCAGTGCGACTTAGACACGGAACGCTGTTTACCTTCCCACCGTGGTGGTCCCTATTTATCTACTTGCATTTGAATGCTTTCGAACCGCTAGGTTGGCGGGAGCTGGGACAAGCGGTGGGCGCTCACTCCGTCGTGTGGATTCGATCTTACGACTGCTGGTCTTCTGACCCTGCAACACAGGCTTCTGCGGTTTAGCCCGCAGCGCCACCACGTCCCTCGCAGCGCCACTTTGGAGAGCCATTCCCAAAAGCCTTCACCACCCGCTGGGCTGGCTGCAGTTCCTGGGAGTGGCAATCCAGGAACACTCACGTGGGTCGCCCAAAATTGGGAACCGCTGAGCGGAGGCATCCTCTTTCCCCCAGAACGCCCTGCCCTAGAGGCGGCCCCCACCCCCGCCCCACAAGGGTAGGTCCTTGGCAGGTGTTTTATGAGCTCCTGCAAGGGCTACACATGCCCAGGCTTTGCTCAAAGCCTTCCAAGGGTGTGGGCCCTGTTGGGGTGTTCCTGCCAGGACCAGCAGCGGCCAGCCATGCTGGAACTTGCACCCGTGGCTTTCTGGGAACAGCAGCACAGCCGTTTTAGGGGCAGTAAAGTTAGGTTTCTTTATGTCGTACATAGGGAGCGTTAGAGGGTGCACAAGAAACATGGAGCTAGGAAGAAGTAGCAGGAATAATGGTTAAACAGATAAAATTACCATATTTATCCACATATAAGATACTACTTTTTCCTATAATCATTACACAGAAAATTGAGGGGTGTCTTTTACATGGATGTAAGCTGAGAACACAGAGAAAACAGGAAGAGTTTGTTGTTATAATAGTCATAATAGCAAGATTAATATTTGCAAAGAACTGGAAAAATGAGAAATTAATCTGGAGACTGGTGTAAAAAATGTGGATCTTAGCTATTAACGTTAACATGTGAAATGAATATAGGAAAGGGAATGGCAAAGGCTAGTGATTTCATCTCTCATATCTACTATTGTGGGCAAGAATCCTGTGGAAGAAATGGAGTAGCCCTCACAGTCAACAAAAGAGTGGGAGAAGCTGTACTGTCCTGGGATACAATCTCAAAAATGATAGAATGATTTCAATACAAATCCAAGGCAGACCTTTCAACATCACAGTAATCCAATTATTTTAATCAGTACTATAATTCCCCTTCATGGATTGCTGCCTTATCATGGGAAAGGGCTTGAGTCACTCAGAGAAGCTATGGGCTGTGCTGTGCAGGGACACCCAAGATGGACAGGTCATAGTGGAGAGTTCCGACTAAATGCAATCCACCTGGAGTAGGAATTGGCAATGTCAGTCCAGTAGCTTTGCTAAGAAAATCCCATGGATGGAAACAAAAGGCTAAAAGATATGACACTGGAACATGGGACCCTCACGTCGGAAGCCGTCCAACATGCTACTGAGGAAGAGCGGAGGACAAGGAAAAGTAGCTCTAGAGTGAATGAAGTGTTTGGGCCAAAGCCGAAAGGACGCTCAGCTGCGTACGCTCCTGGAGGTGAAAGGAAAATCCGATGCTGCAAAGAAAAATACTGCATATGCACAGAATGCCATCCACTGTGCTTGGAGAAAAAGAGATGTAGGATTAAAGTACCTCTTAAAGAGGGTGAAAGAGGAGAGCGCAAAAAAAGGTCTGAAGCTGTACATCAAAAAAAAACTAAGATCATGGCCACTGGTCCCATCACCTCCTGGCAAATCGAAGGGGAAGATATGGAGCCAGATTTTACTTTCTTGGGTTCCATGATCACTGCAGATGGTGATAGCAGCCCCGAAATTAAAAGATGCCTGCTTCTTGGGAGGAAAATGATGACAAACCTTGACAGCATCTTAAAAAGCAGAGACAT